CGGCGAGCTACGAGAAAGAGAAAAAAAGTGCTGTATTCTACGAGGTTTACTTTATCGAATCGTTACTTGAACTCCTTCTGAGGATTGATATGAAAGTTTTAAAAAATCGTGAAACTTGACCATCTCAAAAAGCATGCGTCACAGATTTTGGTTATTTTCTGAAAGCTCATTGATTGTTTTGCAACAGTTTCATAACCTTTAGAAAGAGAATGAAATTCTGCATCGAACGCTACCAAGATCTCTTAGAAAGGTTTGTTCCATCGATTGTGGCAACCGTTTGAAAAAAGCGAAAATACTTTCGGGACGACCTAATATATGTATATATTAGGGTGAACGGTAAAAAATGGGACAGCTTGATTTTTTTCCCATTTTGAGGTATTTTGTTCTCACCAACAACAAGTAGGCTACAACTTAAACGTCGCTTACATAAGCGACCTTCACCTATTATTCTGGCAACGCGTTACCGCTCCTCTCTCATAACCGTACGCGTGGCGCCGTGAAGAACTCAAACAGGGTTTTTGGAACAGTTCTCAATCTTGCGCTGCTATACTGTAAAGTCGTAAAGCATATGACATACCATTCGAAAGAGCTTTTCATGCTCTTTCAATTGGTATGTTAAATGCCTGAGATCACACCTTCGATAGGCCAGAGACAGGGCGCCAAAAGTGAAGGTTGTTTGAACATCTGACGTCATAAATAATGAAGGTTGTTTGAAGAAGATCAGAAAAGAGAAAATGACGTGAAATAGATATAAAAAGCAAAAGAAACCGCTGTAAACCGGATAAAAACGCCGCAATAAGGTTTGAAATCTTTCATTTGGCGCTTTTCAGAGTGCAAGTTTTCGCTCTAGGACCAGCAACTCGCAACACGGGGTTTTGATTTTTGATGCGTCCTTTAAATTTTTACCCCCGCATTGACGTTCCTGTTTCCTGGGACGTTGTCTGGATTGTTGCGCTTATTGTTCTGAGCAATAATCGTCCAAGCTGGAAAAGAATCGCTGCGAAAGCACTGAAAAGAACAAGGTAAAGAAAAACGCACTTTTCACGGTTTTTCACGAAAAATTCCGTTATAATCGAAGAGATAAGAGCTGGGTGGTTGTCTGCATTACGAACACAAGCAAGATCTATAGAATGCACGAAAAAATCGCATAAAAAGAGGTAAACTATAAGAAAAACAAGAGATTTTCGAAAACAAGGTCTTTGCCGGATTTCTCAACCAAATAAAAAAATGTGGTTCTGGAACGTTGTCAGCGTGAAAATAGAGATCAAGAGCTTCAAAATGACATGTAGCTTGTTAAAATTGGTTTCGAAACAGCGAAGAAAAGGGTACCAGAGCCAAATGCCCAGCGCCCCGCGTTCGGGGTAGCCTGGTAGCGCGCAGCGCTGCGGAGACGCAGACGAGCAGCGGAGCTAGACCAGAGCCGACGGGGCATTTGGCTCTGGTCGTAGATCTCCGCGGGGTCTCAACGAAACCCTACAGCATTATATATCATTCTGACAGTCATGACACGAAGAGGAGAAGTGACAACGTCCCAAGCTTTGAAAATCACTCATTAACGAAATAGACCAGCATTTTCGTGCGCGATTCTCTGCGCACATTCAAGAGCAATTTCTCGTTTTAATTCAACTCCAAGAGCTGAGGAAACTTTTACAGAAATTCTCTTTTCAGCGTAAAAAAGGCTTAAAAAAGCAATTTCTAGGTTTCGCTAAGATATTCTTCAGTTATTCTTTTTTGTATTTGTTTCATTAACATTCATTTCGATATAGTTAGGATAATAACATCCGGGGCGAAGCCCCGGATGACCTCTGTTATTTTTTCCAGGTGAAAGTTGTGTCCCCTCATAGCCCTTAAAGTGATGGTTACCAGAGTATGTGGCTCTATGTATCGAGGGTATGCCTGAGATTTCTTTTCAATCTCAGAAAAAAGCGAAAAAACCTGAAAAATAGCTATTTTTTGGCGCAATAAAAAACCAAAAAAAATCATGTTTTGCCCTATATTTTCCAAATAGATAAAATCTAAGATAAGCTGCACATGGATGGATAGAGCGCAAAAAGCTCTATCAGACGGTACCTAGAAAACATGCGTTCACCTGCAAAGAATTGAATAGCGCGTGTCTTTGTCCTCAAAGCTGCTAATGGCCATATCTCCTGACTTTGAAAGTTGAGACCACCAAGCCGTCGTGGGTTTAGTGACTGTCCCACCACCCACTCCAGCAGTGGTACTTTGGGTGGTCTCAGATGTTTCGCTGCGCAGATACTGCTCAAACTTCATAATTTATCGAAGTGACTAACTTTGCATTTCAGCAAGTACAAAAATTATTAATCATGTAAATGACCTTAAATAGGTATTATCTGAAAGATAGTAACATATTCTAGCATCTATCAAAATTGGAAAGCCTAATCGCTTCTCATTCTTGAGAAACCTCCAGTTATTTCATAAGTGTCCCATTTTTTACAGTTCACCCTAATATATATATATAGAGAGAGAGCTGTTCATTTTTGGATCGCGTACAACAATGAACGATGCTTACAGAGCCTTTCGTGCAGAAATTTGCATTATATTATAGAAATATATTATAGATAACTATTCGTTCTTGCTGTTCATTTTTGGATTACGTACAACAATGAACGATGCTTACAGAGCCTTTCGTACAGAAATTTGTTTTTCAAAGGGTAATATTGTGCACCTTATTCAAAGTCAATACCGCCATGCTCCATCTTCCTATGCTTCTCTAATGGGCTCATCACGCTTTGTTCTCTTTTACTGGCCAGGTATTCATTTATACGTACGCTCAGTGGTCGGCCGCTCTCACCAGTGTAACTGGCGGAGCACTTCAAACATTGGATCTCGTAAACGACACCACATTTTGTACAGCCTCTGATCTTTGCGTAGGAGAGATCCCGCAATACTGTGAGTCACAAGCTTTGTCATATAGTCACTAATGGGCCGACAGATCGCATTCCAATAAATAGTCAGTTGCTGAACAGAGTACCGGCGCACCTGACTAACATCAGCCACTTTCTTGATCTCTTGCGACGAACAAACTTTAGTCAAGATTGCATGTTCGAGTCATTCGACGTAAAATCATTGTATACGAAGTATCCAATGAAAATGCCTTACAAGCACTATGCGAGATGTTAGATTCACATATCACATCTATGTCGACGTGTGGCCTTAGTAAGGCGTGCATCATGACACTAATCAAGGAGTGTTTGAATTGCAATATTTTTATGTATAATGCAATGTATTTAGATGGTCGGGACGGTACCAGGCGCAAGTGAGAGGCTTAGCGATGGGTCAACGATTAGAGCCTGTTTTAGAGATTTGCTTCATGAACAAAATAGAACATTCTGTGCTACTCAGTGATCCACTAATGTACTGTCGCTATATAGACAACTGCTGCATTGTGACCACGACCTAGTCCGAAACGGACGAATGAAGATACTCAATCAGCAGTCGAAGTACATAAGTCTAACAAGAGAGGAACTTCAAAACGGTTGGTTGGCCTTCTTGAATAAGCAGTTGACTTTTGTAGGCTCGGTGCATTAAATGGATGCTCGGGTGTGGAATCGCAAAGAAAGTAAGAATATAATTTTGCACGTTCATCCGCCTGTATCCGTTAAACGTGCTATAATTGACACATGCTAAGAACGGCAGCGAACAGCGGTAGTAGTGAACGTGATAAGCAAAAGTCTCTACAAATGGCGGCTGATAAATGGTATCGAATGGTTACGTGATGCAACCCAGACGAGAAATGGCAACAAAGTTGAACGATCGGGTTATCAATAAAGTTCCCCTATGCCTACTCTACATCTCTGAAAAAAATTTTTGTGGCAAATTAGGCGGTGCCTAATACGAGCAAATCTCGAGGATGACATTATTCTACTGAATATCCTTTGAAACAATATCAAGACAGAATTGGTCCGCAATAAACCTTATGACAAATCTTGTAACTCACAGGACTGCGGGATCTGCCACTACGGAAAGATCGGAGATTGCACAAAATATGGTGTCGTTTACGAGATCGAATGTTTGAGGTGCTCCGAAGGTTACATTGGTAAGAGCGGCCGACCATTGAGCGTACGTATAAATGAACACCTGGCCAGTAAAAGAGAACAAAGCATGATGAGCCCACTAGGGAAGCATAGGAAGTTGGAGCACGGCGGTATTGACTTTGAATAAGGTGCACAATATTACCCTTTGAAAAACAAATTTCTGCACGAAAGGCTCTGTAAGCATCGTTCATTGTTGTACGTAATCCAAAAATGAACAGCAAGAACGAATAGTCGTCTATAATATAACCGCTGATCTCGTGCCGTAGGGTAGGGGAACGAAAGCCGCCAGTTTGGGCCGCCTCCGCGGACGGCTGGTCCTGGAACGACACGCAACAACACTGCGAAAGGACCAGTTGACCTCGTCTCAAACTGGCTGCTTTCGTTCCCCTACCCCGTGCCGTATCTTCCGTTTTGCGAGCTGTAGATACTCTGTATATATAAGCGGTACGGTGCCATGCATACTGCTCATTTGTCTGTCGCCATAGTCGAACGAGCTCGTCATAAGCGATTGCACATTGCAATAACGGTAGTACACTGGTGAGTACGAGTCAACCGCCAGACCTACTTTCTCTACACTAGAGAATCGAATATACGAGTGAGAAAAGGTTTTTGGCAGAAAGATAAAAAAATGTTTAACATGTCCAAGTTTCAAGATTGAAGGATTTACAACACAATCGAATATTTATTCGAAAATCGATCGCGCTCGAATATAATCGATATTTGTTCAATCAATACTTTTCATTTTTCGATTTTATTTGAGATTCATTCATTCGCAAATTTCTGATTCTCGAATTTGTTCGATGTTCGTTTATTCGAAATTCTTGATTTCCAAATTTATTCGATATTCACTCATTCGATGTAAAATTTCGAGTTTTCCCATGTGCAATGGATTTGATGAGTGGCCTAAGGCTTTACAATACCAGAAACGTTTTGCCTCAAAATAAGGTACTGCAAGAATTGTGAACAGTATTTGATGTGTCTTCGACCGCTTTTGGAAAAACACAACTTTGCACTTGTATCTTTGAGCTCCAGCTGTCCTTCTCCTTTTCGTGAACTTCAGGTAATTAGTTAGCGCCTGAGCGCACGCAAAATTCACTCAGCCTCAGGCTTTTTCACACTACAGACAGCATAAAATTTTTGAGCCTAAAACCTTCTGAACGCTGATATCACATTTAAAAAAAGCTTTTAACTCTTGGACTGTAAGCATTGAAAATGGAACCAATACATTTGCTTCGAAACCAAATAAAGATAGAAATCATTTTGAATACGAATTACTTACACTATACAGCGTGTTAAAAGTGTTTATGATAATTTAGAAGTGATTCGCGCTGCTAATGGGTGCAAAGAGATCAGTGAATTGTGGTCTTTTGATTTTGACAGCGATTGTGGTTCTTGCTGTAATTGTTGCTGTTGTAGTGATCGTAATGAAAAAGCATAAGAAAGGTGAGGGCAGAATCTAGATTTTTTATATTACCACCTGCTATAAAGAAATTGATTTGAGAAGGAACCAGCACGGAGGCAACTAAGTGCACCACAGCTGCGACTACGATCATGCGAAGTACTGCCGGTAAACATGTTTTTCAAAAAATTCCAGAAGTTCGCAAAATCCTGTATTAACGTAGGTAGTCAAAAAAATTTATGGTTGATATTTTTTGAGCCACTGTGGTGTTGAAAGCCATATAAGGGTTAGAAAATCCCAACATGGATTCAATCAATCAAATATTTGGCATAGAATACATGTAAATGACCATTTTCAGCATAATCAAGAGCAAACTTTGTTAACGGGATATCACTCAAAGGCAGTGTATCACGAAAATTGAGGTAGTGCGGGTCTCCATATATTTCGTTAGTGTATGCTTTGGGTAGGCGATAGCCCCAAGTCCGGCCTTTTACACCAAGACTTGCCTTCAAAGTGGCCCGCAAAACGCGATTTGCCCCGCACGGCCGATGCCCCCGATTCCTTTAACGTTTCAACATGTCCCTCCACTTGGCGTCCATTTTCATAATGCTACTGCCAATGTGGCAGAGTAGGGTGACAAATTACTGCTCGTCCGTTTTGTTTTTCGGGACTTTCAAAAAACAGAATTTTCGAGCATTTCATGAGATTTTGGACCTAATATAAGCTAGACGGGGACGAAGAGGCATATACTATGCAAAACTCTCGACAAACAAAATTTGGTGAGACACTGCCTTTAATGTGCTTTCACTCTATAGATAATGGTGTATGCAGACACGATTTCTGTATAAGAAGTGTTGAAAAATTCATCAGTGGGTGGCGCTAGGATCGAGCGTGAAGTCATTCGTGTCTGACTTGGTTCCATGGATGATGAAGGAGATTGCACAGGGGGTTGAATCAAGGGTAAGAGTAAGAAAGTGATATTGTCTTGGACGGTGCAATAAGGCTACAAGCGAGGAGAGAAGAAGAAAATAGTTATGCTGATGACATTCAATGGTTGCGGTCGCGCGTAAAACTTTCCGTATATGATCAACTTAATTTAGGGATGATGAAAACAGTTCATGTTGTAATAGGGCAATATCCTCTCTAGTCTTTACTGAAAATTTTGCTTCATATTGCTCAGAAGCGCTTCCAACATCTCATTGTCGCTTTTATCACATTGATTTGATTGCGGAGTATTTAGTTATCACCGAAAAGTCGTCCAAACGTATAAAAAGCGTTGTCCAAAATAGTCACATACTATTGGCGCTACCTGCATTGGCCGCCGCGTTAGGTAGTTTGTTCGGCAGCAGGCCGCAATGAACAGCGTGGAAAGCGTTCACAGTCACTGCTCTCGTTATTGCGGTCTGAAAGAGTTTGCACATGGCAGACGCAACAGTTGCTGACAAGTCAGTATGAAGAAACGGTTTGCGAAACTGGGACTTGACTTTGAACTACATACAACTAATAGTTTCACTGCGAAGGTAATTAAATAAGTGAAAATGTTAGGTAGTGCCATAAGTCTTTTCATACTCGAACCTTCATATCGACATCTCTCAAGAACAGGGCATCCACAAGGTTGCAATTTTCCTGGCAATATTTCTGAGTGAATAAGCTACATAATAATTTGCGGGTAACGGGGAACGCAGAACCACTGCAGACAAAGTTTGAAAATTTAGCGCATTATTTTTTTTTGATTTCTAATCATCAGAAAAATGCAGCAGATGTATGTATAAATATTTAATTTGGGCAGTAATGCGTGAGCGACTGCGAATTCTGCATTGAGGTGAATTGAATTGAGAGGCGATATTTTCGTTTTTTCGAAAATTTGGAATTTTTTATGTTTTGGTTTAAAACTCACTGCGGATCAATCTTGATGCAAACTTTCAAAGCCCCTTTGTTGTGCTTGCTCTGATCTCTCGAATGGTATCCCAAATCCTATCATACTATATATAAAGCGCAAGCACCCCCATCTGACGTCGTCAGTCGCGGCAGAGGTGTAAACATGTATGTCGTTTTGCGCCGGTGCGAGCGTACCGAGCCGATGACTCACAATGGTAGTGCTGCCTGTCTTAGACGATGTTGATCAAATGGCATAACCCAAAGAGCGATCACAATGGTGGTGATGCCTGTCTTAGACGATGTTGATCAAAGGCCTAACCCAAAGAGCGATCACAATGGTGGTGATGCCTGTCTTAGACGATGTTGATCAAATGGCATAACCCAAAGAGCGATCACAATGGTGATGCCTGTCTTAACTTAAATTAACTATTCAAAACCTTGGTTCTTTGGGAATGGTTTATGCAATTTTAAGACGCAATTCAATAACTTAATAGTTAAATACGAAGATGGGAGTAAAGTATTTCGATTAATTGGTTGCATTTTACTTCGTTAATAGTAATCCATACTATTATATAAAGCGGTAACATCCACCATGTGAGTCAGCATAGATGTCTATTAAATATCCGGCGTTGTCTACCACCAATGGGAACGCGCCCGGCAGCCAAGATGGGTCGCGTTGATGACGTCATATCATACAGTGCTGCCTCCATACGTTTTCGGTTATGTTCTTCAGGAATGTTTATGAGTTGGCACCAAAGCAGCGAAATTAACACCACGGGAACTGTCAGCGGCTAAATTGATTAAGCTGTCCCACTGACTGTAATAGCTTCATTTCGAAAATCATCGAAAGTTGATTAAATCGTTTGTACATTATCTCACCACCATTATCTTATTTTTTTTTGGCATCTCGCTTTTCTATTTCTACTATGGAGCGTTTAATTTGGAGTGCAACATAAGTTTTCAAAAAAGTTGGGTATTTTAGCAAAATACTGCATCCTTCCATAGTTCATTTTTCGAGTGCTTAGTATGTTTCCTCACCGTAAAACAGTTGCGCCAAATCTTCAATTAATCTGTCCTTTTAATTTTTCTGCTAACATATCTCAGCAGGGAAGTTGAAGTTCGCCATGAGATGCTTAGCGTTTAGTTATTATTTTAGACAAACTGCACTAAATCTGTTTGTGGAGGTTTCTCGCAAACTTTACTTTGGACATCTCTGCCTACGATTTTTTTGAATAAGCGTTTCGTTTGAAGTGCCAACAGCAAAGGCAATTCCTTAGTTTCTTCTCAATTCACATGCAAAGATGTTTGTTGAAGTTGATGAACTTTGAAAATCTTTGACTCCATCGAGTTGACATCTCATTACTGTGTAAACCTTTTCGATAGTTGCCAAGATTTGTACGAAACACTATCTTTAAACGAATTCAGCGTGTCATGCGAACTGTCTTGAAACTCGATGAAAGCTGGATGCAAAAATCTTCTTCAGCTAGGAAAAAGTAAAAAAGAAACCATTTTCAAATTCCCGAGATTTCCTTCAAACATTAAAAATTCGAAGAGTAAAGTAGAATAATATCAATGCGATCGTGATTGATTTTATTAGGACTAAATATTGTATGAATCTGCCGTTTATATCAGCTACGAATTAGAAAGGTGACATGCACGTTGACTTTACATAAACTAAAGCTTTACTAACCTATGCGCAGTTAAAATACTGCACAACCTCAAAATTGCTTAAAGAAGAGAAGACTGCTTAGGTGAACAGCTTTAAGCATGAACACCTTTATGTAGGTCCCCTCAAGAATTTGAGTTTGCTCAACAAGATAACCTGAAAATTGAGTGGATTTTGGAGCCTACGGATGAAGTGCAAGAATGCTGGACAGTTTGGAAACTTCATAAAACGTGAACGAGAGTTTTGATAGTGCAATTTTTTGAAGTGGAAGAGGAAGTATGACGCTTTCAAGAAAGGATATTTATGAAAAAAAAGAGGGAGTGTTCGAATTTGGAAAACTCTAGATTTGGTAGTTTTAATATTGGCTACATATTTACAAGAATATCACGAATTTTCTTGCTAATAGTTTCGGGAAGCGATAAAAATAGTCTGATTAGAGCGGTGGAGATTTAAAGCAGTTTGGAGGGTCGCCGCTTAATGTGGGAAACAGGGCCCCGGGTGGGAAGAGCACATGGTTGGGATTACTTTGTCGGGTTTGGGATGGGCCCAATCACAAAAATTTTTTTACGTTACGTTTTCTTTACGTGTGAAAGTTTGAGAGCATACAAAAGTCTTCGCAGGCTACGAATCTTCAAAAATTTTGACTTTCAGTCACATTCCCGCTTCACACGCACAGCCAGTCCAAAGCGCCGCGAAGCGGCGCTTTGGACTGGTCAGGAATATGAGAAGAAGTGACTTACCTCGGTGGGAATTCAGGTATGAAAAGACTTATGGAATAAATCAATAGAAATTTGAATTTCACAGCGAGCCTATTGCATAAAGCACCGTTGCTGTAGCATCATGGTACCTCGGTTCAAATTACTGAGTGAAATACAATTGAAAATGGGTGCTATATCTTGCCAATAATGCACCTATCAGTCATTGATCTGATTGTAAATGGCGCGCATTTCGATCGCTCGCCGTACGTATCACGCAAAAGATAATTACCCCTACTCCCGACATCGGTTGTACCGATCACAAAAACAAAGAAGCTCTAGTTTCTACAGACAACTTACGCTGGTGACATAGTCGCCCATGTCGGATGCGATCCGGGTTATCAGATTTATGACAACACTCCTACGTCTGCTTAGACCCAATGCCGAGTTCGGTAGTTTTCAGAAGTAACGGAAAATATACGATGCCTCATGGTGGGCGATTTACTTAACTTTAATGATAACACAACTGCTTATGACAAGGTGATTCAAACTAATATAGAATTCCTCACCAACATATATCATTGAGAACTTTAGGAAAAAGACTTTATGAGCGAACTTGCTTATGGCCTATACCGAAAAACCCAAGTATCAAAACTGGGTTTGTGGGTTTACGGATATACCACTTCCTTCACTAATTTGAATGAATCACTAAAGAATATGAGAGGATCACCGCTTGACTTTTTATGGGATCTCTACGCGCTAAATTACAAGCAGGTCGAAAAGCCAACTTCTACATTCGAGTGAGTCAACTACTTACGGACTCAAATGCTGTTTGAATAACATATATATTTCATTCAGAGCTATAGAACAGCTCAACAATCTGATAGATTTGGAGAACCGCAGCAATTGCTTGATATTTCTATCCGCATCGTAAGTTCCGCTCTTCTCCTACATAGAACAATGGGACTCATTGTAGTGAGTTTCTCACCTGATTACACAAGCGTAAGCACGTATACTGGCTGTCCAAGTGTACAGATCCGAAAACAAAACTGCTTAGGCCACAAACTCAATGTTTGAAATTGAGTGTTTTCCACGAACCTGCACCTTGAGCCTGCATTGTAAGCAATTTTTATATCGCAAATAATTTCTCAACAATTGATCATTGCGAGAAAGTAAAAAATTAAAAAAGCCAAAAATGACTGTGAATGTAACATTGGCTGAGTATTCGAGCATTTTCCAGAACACATGAATAGAAGAATATTTTTGGTTTCCTAATTTCAATCAATTTGTACAACTTTTACTTGCAAATTTTGGAGCTCAGCACAGGCAAAACAAACAAACAAACAACCGCTTTCACGCCTCTTTCCTCAAAATTTAGAGGAAGCATTTTCGCTTTGAAATGATCTAAAACATTCTTCGATGGTGCTTCATTGTAAAAATTCCTAATCTTAGACTTTCCTCGAGATATCGCGGAATTTCTTTAATATCCTACCCTCTTACCATAAGTAGGCTCATTCGTTCATACCTAATTCTGATCTGTCTAAAATGAGGCAAAGTTATATGTAGAGGCTGCTTGCATTGTGTAATGCGACGCTGTCGGATTCGTTGAGGACACTTCATGTCATAAAAGAGAACAACAAAAAAAGAAATGGAGAGCGCACAAGGAGGCATGCAAGCCCGCAGGCCGTTGCTTTCGCAGTGCATAAATAACTTACACTTTCATACTTTCGCAAAACAGTTTGAAATCTGCTTCTGTTCCCTAAAACTAGAAGAAAACAACTACTTGAAGCTTCTCCTAAATTGACAAAATTGAGAATGATGAGAATGGGGCGAATGTTGCTTTGTTTTTTCAGAGGCCCTGTCATTGCGGCACATCATTTATTCTACACTCCTTTTTCGCTTCCTTGGTTTTCCTGGCATGATGGGGCGACGCTAATTTGTTAGTATCTGCTTTATCTATATTTGGTTTTCAGTCAAAAAATTACTTTGCAAAGCACACTATTGGCAGGGCATACATGTCTAGCATCGAGCCAGCCAAGACGATTACGGTCGAACACTTATATGTACTTGCAGGAGACGCCATTGCTTCACTCGAAATTGACCGGTTATGCAAGTAGTGAGCACTTGATGTTGAGTTTACCGATTTATTTCAAAGACCTGCACTTTTGAAAGTCAGCTTTCTCTACGAACTTATTTGCAACATAAAAATTGCTCACAATGCAGGTTCAAAGTGCCAAGTTCGTTGAAATCACTCAATTTCAAACCTTGAGTTTGTGGGCAAAGCAGTTCTTCTCAGTAATGATCATTGCCACTAAACTTTATTACATCTATTTAGAATTCCTTGACAATTCATAAGCTTGAACGTTATTGAAGCAACAACGAGCAGATTTTCTCCGGAGATCGCCAAGTTTTTTTTGCTAATCCTTACTCTGAAGTCATAATATTAAGCTTCAGTAGGACTTTGCTCGGTGGCCAGGGGTCAAAAAGCAGAGATTCTGGCCTGAGGTCTCTCTGAATTCCAAAAAAGTTTCGCAGAGAAGAACAGAAGATTCCTTTATTTCGCCCTTCATAAACTCGCAAAAAGATGCTATCCTAAAACTTTTCTTCGTTATAGTAGAAAGTTTTCGTTTTTTCAACTTGCACCATACCAATTTTGCCTTAACGGAACTTCCACGATTGTGGTGCGCTGTTTTTTTTGTGACTGTAAGGACTACAGTACAAAACTGACTTTTACTAACTTTTTGAAAAAGAATTATAAACGCGCATAGGATGTTTGCATAAAACCGATACGAAAACAACAACGATTTCAGAACTAATACAAGTGGACTACCCCTTCTCAGCCCAAATTCATCATTGTCTTCGATCGAAAAAATTGTTGCCATTGGCTACAACGGTAAACTTCTTATAATCGCTAATCGTGCAATTTTTTAATTTTGGGTCTAATCCAGACGTACACCTGAACAAGATTGTTGTCCCTCCTCAAGGAACCGCTTTAGCTATCCCGTACTCATATACCGATGAGGATCTAGAAAAGATATTGAATATGTTTCCAGCCAGGTAAAATAAATTTTTATAAATCAAAAAATATGGACCTCGCAAAACATACTTGCAATCCAAGTATCTTTTTACAACTATTAGATACCACGTTACGTTGAATGGTGAATTTACGGCGAGAAAGTACGCAAAGTTTTGTGCTTACTCAAACTCTTTTTCGAACTGCTTTATGTCATTCCACTCAAATACAGCAAATATTAACCTTTATTTTGTAGGAAGAAAACGAAGATCTTGCTTGTTTAGCATAACTACGACCTCACCAGTCAAATCCACTGCAAAGTTGCTGAATGCTACAACTCCAGAAACTAAAACAAGTACCACGCCGTCAGCGACGACTTTGGTCAGCAATCGAACCACAGTCTCTACTTCTAATAATACGGAAATACCAACGACTAAAGGCAAGTGTTCCCAATTTATTCGCTGAGATTACAGATGAATAGGATGAGTGACAGAGCTTCCTTGTATATACCGAGTTCGGAACATCGCTGGAATGTTATTGAGGTGACAATAAATGATACAACTTTCTGTATAACTCTTTAAATTTGAAGCATTTATTTTTTGCTGATGTAAAAACTAAATTGTAAGTTACAAACGCAGACACTTCCGCTCTCGTTAACGGACGCAACGGTTGATGATTTGCGTTATGAGTTTCAAATTGCTTCAGATTTTGCTGAACCTTCGTCTATCAAGTTATTCGATACGCTGATTACAAAAATGATATTCACTCCGCACGAGTTTCTTTCGTAGTGTTAGGAAATTATTTCTCTTTTGAGAAACATTCGCGCCTGTGTGGTCACCCGGAGTGGTCGTCTTTGCGGTTTCTCTGGCAGCTCACTCTTTCATTTTGCTGTCTTGATTCCGGTTTCGTTCTTGCACTCGATTTCGTTCTCTTTTATGTGTTTCTTCTGCGCTCGCTTGCTGCCTTTTTTGATCCAATTCTCGCTCTACCGGAGTTTTTTTGTCATTCGACTTGTCCGTTGCTGATCGATTTTTCTATCAGTGCCTCTGAATTGATTGATCAAAAACAAATCATGGCACCTAAAATAGGAAGAGCGCATTTGGAACCCAGTCAGCTTATAGGTCCGTCGATGCTGGGAGTCAGACCTGTAATTCTGAGTTTTCAAGTTTGTCATTGCAGACTTGATAACTGGGATCAGGGATAGAAACAATGACCCCGTAATCAATAGACTGTTGAGTGCCCTGTGTGAGAAACTACCCATGGCGGCTCGCGGTGATATCGATTCGGAGAAACGGAATCGAAGCATCGTGATAAGTGGCATCCCTGAAGCGGATGGGCAGCTTCAGTTTCATCAACGGTGTCTTAAGCTAGAAAACAGCGTTGGTGAAGTACTGGATATTATAAAAGTTGAATGCAGGCATATCGAGTTGTATCGATTAGGAAAGCCCAACCCTTCCCGCCCCAGGCTGGTAAAGTGCGTTTTTTCTTCTCGATACTAATGGAATGTTGCACTGTCTAATGCTCGGCTGCTCAGAAATAGTAGCTGCTCTAACATTTACGTTGGACGGAGCATGACGACAGAAGAGAGGGCTCGAAACTATGCTTTCAGGCAAGAAGCCCAAGAGCGTAATAAGGGCATGGCCACCCGTGAGTGGGTGGTATATCGAAATGAGTTGGTCCATGTATCCAAGCTTCCTCGTAGAAGCTCGGAAAACTTCAGAAATGGCATGGTATGACTGACTCTATGCAGATTCACTTATGAACTCCTGTAGTCTTGTAAACAAATTGAACCATTTGCCCGCCTTCATTTACGAACATAAACCAGATTTGATTTTTGTTACTGAATCATGGCTCAATGCAAGAACACTTGACTCTGAAATTGTGGCTGGTATGCCTTATTTTGCATAGAAGTGGTTGAAAGAATCGCAGAGCTAGGACGTCTGTTGCCTTGTTAAAGGTAATATGATATCAAGATGCGCCAACATTGAGTTGAATTTGCTAACAGATGTGCTGATTGCTATTGTGAACCAACAGTCCTTACGTTCACGATTTATTGCGATATACCGCCCACCTTCCTCTGGTAGAGATGATGATGATAAGTTGGTGGATGTGATAAGCTCCTACGCTTATGCTTCCGATCGTCATGAAACTATAATTCTTCGTGATTTCAATCTACAAATAGGTTGGGTGACAATGAAAGCTGCCAATATACTTCTTCGTCCTTTTTGAACTACTTTCAAATCAACGGCTTTGAGCAATTCGTTTCTTATCCTACGTACAGTGACCATGTCCTTGATTTGGTTCTTTCTCGTGCCACCCAGATTGCTAATGTCAACGTTCTCCCACCACTTGGCTCATCGGATCATGGGATTGTTCAGTTTACAATCATGGGCGTGGAGCCGTGGGTTTGCCATCCTTCCATTACCAGATTTTTCTAGAGTGGATTACAAAGCACTGAACGAATTTCTCTCAAATATTGATTGGCTTGCACAGTTCAATAAATATGAGACATCTTAGGAAGATTAACGTAGATTTTATAGATAATCTATTCCGCCCTTGGCATGTTTATTACGATGAGATTCACATGAAACGGTTATTAATTTACCGTCTCATATATTTGCATTGAATATGCAAAATGTCGCCTTTTTAATATATTGCATGATCCATTGCACCACCTTTGTACAAGAAAGTGTGCCAAGATATTGAATTTCATATGGATTCTTTCTTGCTGATCGTGAGCGACGGCAACAAAAGCATCGGCTCGAAAACTGTATCGGTATATCAATTCCAAAATGAAAGCCAGTGCCACACTTCCTACTCTTGAAGATCTATCGCGAATTTCTTATTTTACTGATGCTGATAAAGCCAGAATCCTAGGCACTTACTTTGCAAGCGTTTTTACTAATGATGATGATCATGAACTCCCTGCACCTGGCAATACTGCAGTGCCAAAGAGCCATTGTAGTTGTGTATATTTTAAGCCATCTAAAGTCTTCAAGTTTCTGAGGAAGCTAAAGTCGTTCACCACAGAAACTCTTATGATGGCATCCCTCCCATTGTTTATAAACGATGTGCAGTTTCTCTGTCGATCCCGCTGGCACACATTTTCAACATCTCTATGCTATTAGGTGAAGTGCCGGACTTATGGAAGCATGCCCTGGTGACTGCTATCCCAAAGGTCCAAGGAGCCAAGTTGATTAGTGATTTTCGACCAATTAGCCTTCTACCAGCGTCATCTAAAGTTATGGAAAGAATTAATAGACTTTTTCATGGCTTAACAAAATGCATTTAATCCCAGCTGAGCAGCATGGCTTCATTAACGGTGCCTCTACTACGACTAATCTTGTTGATAGTACCTACGATTGGATGCTAGCTTTGAACTACCGAAAGTCTGTAGATGTGCTTCATATTGATCTGTCTAAAGCATCTGACAGAGTTAGCCACCAAACTGCTACTCAAGTTGAAGGCACTAGGCATAGACGGCTCTCTGCGCTACTGGTTTGCATCATATCTGCACAACCGTTTTATGACAGTCAAGGTTCGTAATGAATTTTCGCGGGCATTGTTGTCGCTTCTACTTCTTTTGATATATACACTCGATCTACCTCGAAGACTTCAAACCTCCTCTAATATAAAAGTGCAGATGTATGCTGATGATATCAAAATATACGGTAAGTATAGTCTTGAAGATCAATCGCAGGTTCAATCAGCATTGCAACAGTCGCTTACACAGTTGGTCACTTGGGTTGATCAATGGAATTTATACTCAATCTTAGTAAAAGCTTTGTTCTGCATATGGGTGACCTGTTTGTAGGCACTTATGTAGTTGGTGGCACTGCTTTGAGGGTGTGTTGCTCAGCTAGAGATTTAGGAGCGATCATTGATTCAAGACTTAGATTTACTGAGCAGGTAGACGCTATTTTAAAGAGAGCTTACTCTTGTTTGTTCTTACTTTTTGGAAGTGTAAAAACTAATTCTCCTGTTCTTTTGACGCGTCTTTATAAGACTCCTGTTCGTCCACACCCCTGGAATAGTGTTTCCAAGTGTGGAACCCTACTAGAAGGAAGGACATTTGTTAGCTTGAAAAGGTACAAAAAACCTTTACACGTCTTTTGTATAAACGCATTTCTTCCAATAGTGTCCCATTTGCTTATGGTATACGATTAAAAAAGCTTACTTTCCAGAGTCTTTCTTATCGCCGTAATATTTCTATTTCTGTTTTCTGTTTCCAAGTGCTCAGAGAAGAGATCAGACTAAAAGCTAGTAAGTACTGGATATTTTGCCAGCTAGTCAAAGGTTGGGAGGTTTCATATGCCATATTTCTGAAACACAATATGGAGAAAATGTACAACAACATATTTTATAGATCTGCTCGTTGGTTTCAGCTTCTACCTAAGGACATAGTTGGTTCGTCTAATGTGCGATCCTTTAGGGATAAATTAACCAGAGTTGACAGTCATCTTCTACCTTTCTAATTGAAGTTTTCATTAATCTAGTGTGTTTTCAGTTCCGTTCTTGTCATTTTCTAATGGTCTTGGCTACGTTTTTCTGCTATTGTTGTGGACTATCGCTCAACGCTTTGGCTTAGTAGCGTCGGACGGACATAACAGTATAAAGTCATCATAACAATCTTGGTCAAGCTCAGCAACCGCACAGAAAAGGACATAACAGTTTTTCTTACTCGTGATAGATTATGGCGGTGTTTTGCTATTGTGTTGCATTTCTTTTGTTACTAATCGCTCAATTATGGAGGGGTCACTTCTTCCTACTCTATATTGATTTTTTTGGATTGAGAAGTTTTCTATCAAGGACATTTCTACTTGAAATTTGTCAGGTCTCTTTAAGGCTTGGGGAGTTAGGTTGGTGGATACCTAGCTAGACCAATACCCTCCTTGTACCGCTCCGATTATCCTTGAGCGATAGCAATCCGCACTGCTATTCACCCGGCATTCCAATTCATATATAGCCGCACAATTTGCTCGCATTTGAATGCATCTTTTTTCGTTGTTGTGGGTACACTATCCCGTACTTTCTTTTGCTTAACTCATTGAAGTACGAGCTTTCTTTGTTGTTCTTTGAATGTCTAGGACGACTGGCCTCACGCTAACAGTTTTTCATGGTCTAAATGGTACCTCTTGAGTTTAAAAATAAAGATAAAGATAAAGAAACGAACAATATCATACTCGTTATGTCCAGCATGTCGAATTATCCCACTGCCAACTCATTTGACAAGCCAACCTCTAGCAACATGTTACTTACCATTTCTTTATGTGTTTGGTCCAGGTTTCGCACGGCTTCATTCTTGCTGAGAAACCTGAAAATCTCAATATTTGACAGTGTTTGGAAAACCCCTGGATTGTTATTATGATTTTATCAAAAACCAAACGGTTTGCGCAGCCCGTTTCTCACATCCCCTATTTATATTAGGTTGATCTGAAAGTTCATTCGCCATTTTCCAAAATATCATACCTTCTTGGCAGCCCAAAGCATTTGGAGAAAGTTGCTCAGGGTTGACGAATTTTAACAAGGTCACGAAAAATCCGAAAGTATTTTTGCTTGACAGAGAAAACTGTGCATCACTTCTAGTACCTTTCCTATGAGTTTAGACGAGGAAATGCGGAAGTTAGAAGCAAGTGAAGAAAAAACCTTTGGGAGAAGACGCAAAACATATGTTTAGCCCGATATTATGAAATTTTGAAAAATGTTAGAGACAATTTGTTTAGTAGACTGAATTTTCATTTCACTGAAAAGTCTGGCTACAACTGTTACTTTGTAGGGCCAAGAAAAGGTGAAGTTCACTGTCTATTTGTAGGAGACCTCATGCATTTTGGTGACGACAAGGACGAGTATGAAAGGGTCAGACTTTTTTTGGGAACTCTGCCATCGTTTCCATGGAAGTAACTGCCATTCGGTTTATTTTTACAGGAAAAGCACTTCATTTTTGAGACCAGCAAAGAATTATTTGATACAACGAGAAACGCCACTGCAGCAATGTGGGTCTTCGGGTACACTGATGGACCCAGAGGGCTAAAGGACATTCTAGCGAATATGCGCACGAACTTCAAAGACTTTGAAAGGGATTTAAATGAGAGGATGATTCATAAAAATGTGAAAGTTTTTGGAATTAATGAGTGAGTTCCTTTTGCCTATAAGGATTTTTCGGCTAAGCTGGCTCTGCGTTCGATGACAATGCCGATACAATACTGATAGCCCAAGTTGCATAATATGTTATTCACTATTTTCATTTCAGGCAACACTTGCGATCAATGTCACTGACAACATAATATAATTTCAAGAGTTTGTTAACTACTCCTTTTTTGAAATCATTAACAGAACCAAATAATGCAAACAAACTACGCTATAGAGGAATCATTTTATGAAGTAATCTTTAACTCATGTGATCTGGCTCAAAATTCACATTTTTTTGAAGGAAGTGCTCCAGGCAAATCGGTGTCAAGGGTTTTTTGCGTGAAATTGATGAGGGGGTGCTCAGGTATTGCCCAATCAGCTCAAATGACTCAAACACGGCTAAGAAATTCATCCCCTGAACACTCCGCTGCTGCGCCGTGACCGTAACTGATGAGTTACTTAAGGTGGGTTTCAACTCGAACGTAGTGTCAGTGTAAGCGAAGTCACCTTCGGATACGGTCACGGGGCAGCAGCGGAGTGTTAGGGGATGGATTAGCCGTGAATGAGTCATTTGCGCTGCCGATTGGGCAGTGCCTTGGTAGTATACCCTCATCAGTTTCCAGACAAAAACCCATGCGTTCAGATTTGCCTGGACACTGCTTTTGAGTAAAAGTGCATGTAGTTCTATCAACAGCGAATTAACTTTGAAAAATGTTTTTTTCGTACTTGGTCTTTTTTCGAAAAAAATTAGACTTTTTTGTACTCTAGTTTTAATGGCCGCCTCAACGTCATAGCCATGGCTCGGCATAGGTGGCTTACAAGGCAGGTTGGATATCGTGATAGAAGTCAAAGAAGTTATCGTGTTGGGGGTAAAAGGAAAAGTGGATATTGAGTGTTTTGAGAGGTTTGGGGCAGAGCCTTGTGAGAAACTGCATGAATCAGCTTAACATTAGTATAGAAAACAGTATAGATGTACCATCTCTTCGTGGAAAATCGTCACGCAAGACAATATGAAAATAAATCATATCATACTAACCGAATTAAGAAAAACTTCGGGGAGTTGGCTAACTTCACGCCCATCAACACCAAAATTTTTTGCAGCCCTCTCTGTGACAAACAAAGCTCATCCCTTCGTTATTGTCGCTTGAGTCAAACAAACACACTCCCAATTTTCATTTCTTCACTCTCCCTCCCCTCCCTCCCTTCGCCCCTCTTGTTCCAAAACAGGACTCGACTCAGCTGGAGGCGGGTTAAACAGCATATCCTTTTTGAGCGGAAGAGCAAGGGATATCATTTTGCAAATTGGCATGCAGCTGTTCATGCCAGAGGACCGCCGCCGACATGCTGGCACCTGCTTACTCTTTACAATAAGCTTTTTTGTTACATTAGCATGACGCCGCTATGCAACCCGCATGCCGAATGCATGCCAGCGTACGGTTTCAAATTAGCGCGGGATATTAAAATTGTGCCTCAAACGAAAGCCTTATTTACGACCAAAACGCAATGATATGACAGCAAATTTGGTGTGCACAAGCACTTGGAGAACTCCAATCATGGCCCGAATATTCATAAAAACTTTTGCGAATGAAAGCCGTGCCATTATATCATCGAATTAGCTAGAATGGTACTAGTTGGGTACCATTTGAGGTGGAACTGACCCTTTGCTTAGGTTTAGGCTGTTAACTAAGTTTCTCAACTTCCTTCTTAAATTTTCTTTATAAGGCTCGTTCATTTGGCTTATGTAAACTACCACGTGGTTTACAAGCAAGCACAAAAAGATCAATTTTTGATAACGAGATAATGAAGCTTGATTTTGTCCCCCAAAATACTATACTTGGAATTTCGCGAAATTATTATACAAGCAATGATGAGGCCGTTCGTAGCCGAAATTAAACATATTGCCCTATTTTCAGGTGTATAAGCCGCACTCTTATCACTTTAAAGGCGCACACGTCAAAAGACTGCCTGTTACGATGAGGCGCGTTAAGTGAGAGCAATCTGCGAGAAAACGACCGCTTTGCGAGGCACATGCGCAGCGGCACGCCTGGGTCTGCTCGCGTTTAGAGCAAAAAGGGTGCGGCTTATACACCTGAAAATAGGGTAACTCAAAATTAGTGCAGAATTATGGTCAAAAGTTGGCTCACCAAGCTCTCTGAAAAAAGTAGTAGTAGTTAGGGACTGTCCGAGATCCGGCGCTGTCGAGAAAATTGAACAACGCAGCGGTCGTAAAATTGGTGCTAACATTCGTTAATAGCTAGCGAGCAAAACCGCACAATTTGCCGATACTTTGTATTCTAGGCTAATTCTGTATGCTGAAACGGCTATCGTGATTGCCGTAAAATTGGAATTTTTTCTTTGTGGATCAGCCAAAAACATTGTAGTGCAAAATGAGTATGATTTTGCCTGTCAGCACCTCCCCCCCCCCTCCCCCTTCTCCCCGACAAAGTTTAGAAAGAAACCGTAACGAAGATACGATCCGTGATGATCCGTGATTTTTTTCCTTTTTCAACGCACAGCTACGTAATCCTTACATGCGTTACCTGTGGAAAAAGGTTGCACATAGAGCTCACATCACAGTCTGAACGTTGCCAGAGTTTGAATACTATATGCGAAAAGAGTTACGGAAAAAGTTGCAAAACTTAGTTAGCACTCGAATAATTTTCCATACCTCATCGCAGAGGAGGTTGGAGAGGGCGAGGTGGAGGGGTAAAGAGTGAGAGGTAAGAGAAGTGGAGGGTAACGGAGGGACAGTGTAGTTATTTCTCGTTTTTTTCTGTTTTCGACGTCTGCCCTTTGATTGGACCGCAGTAAGTCTCACCCATATGAATAGCAAAAAGCCAAGCGCAGAGGCGTGAGGAGTAAAAAAGGGTTAAGGGGATAATGTAGGAATTTTTTGAAATTAAAGGGACTTTGTTTCAGAATCTTCCTAATGCCTGCTCGTGCCGAGCTCTGTCCTACCTCCTCATCCTTTGGAGTCGTCGCAAGTGCTCATCACTGCCTACCTCCTATTCTCTGCAGAACAAGAATGCTGTCCACGCAAGGGAAATTTAAATGTGTCCCGAAATAGACAAAAGGCTTGTCATCAACGAACGTGAAATGATTTGACACAAAATTGAATGTAGATGCAAAATGGGGAGTCTTATGAGAAATTATATTAAGTCAGGTAACTGAAAGTAGCAAATATTTTTCTGAGTTAGGTCGGTTTTTGAACTTGAGAGCAACCTAAGGTGGCTCATGGAAAAAAAGTCATATATTTCTCTTTCTTTACATAATAATTCACACTTTTTGCATCTCAGTTTACATCCAAAATTCTGCAAACTATTAGGGTGATCACTAAAAATGGGACAGCTTGATTTTTGTCAAATTTTGAGATTTTTGTTTCGATCAACAACAAGCACGCTGCAACGTAAACGTCGCTTATATAAGCGACCTTCGCTTATTATTCTGGCAAAACGTCAGCGCTCCTCTCCCACAACCCTACGCGTGGCGCCCTGAAGAACTCGAACAGGGTTTTTTGAACCTCGCTCATTCTTGCGCTGCCATACCGCAAATTTATAGAGCAATTGTTATATCATTCGAAAGAGCTGTTCATGCTCTTTCAAAAAGTATATGAAAATACAGAATTTCTTTCTGTTTCTGGGTAAAAAAAGCAAAATACCTGGAAAATCGCGATTTTTTGGCGCAACAAAAACCAGTAAATCAAGTTTCAATTTGTATTTTCCGAAGACAGATAAAATGTGAGGTAAACTGCATATGGATGGATAAAGCGTAAAAAGCTCTTTCAGATGGTACCTATAGAACATGCGTTCACCTGCAAAGCATTGAATAGCACGTATCTTTGTTTTCAAAGTTGCTAATGGCCATATCTTCTGAATTTGAAAGTTTACACCAGCAACCCATCGTGGGTCTGGTGACTGTACCTTCACGCATTGCAGCAGTAGTACTTTGGATAGTTTCGCATGTTTCACTGCGCAGATACTGCTCGAAGTTTTTGATTTGTCAAAGTGACTAACTTTGCATTTCAGCCACTAGCATAATTATTAGTTATGTAAATGATTTTATATAGGTATTTTCTAAAAGAGAATAACTATTCTAACATCTATCACAATTGGGAAGTTTAATCATTTTTTTTTTGAGAAATCTACATTTATTCTCTAGGTGTCCCATTTTTTAGTGATCACCCTAATTAGGGTGTCCCATGATAATTTACCGTTTTTGCCCTAAACATCAGCATTTCTCGAGAATAAGGGCACTTAAGGGCACAAATACATCATCGTACTTCTGTATGTATGAGCTATAGATCACGTGCGTGGGAGGAGCTCAGAACGTCTAGGGGCGAAGTTTGCTATTTTACTCCAATCAATTTTTTCTTTATATTTAGCATGGAAAAGATACGGAAAGTCCAGTTAAATGCTCAACATGTCAAGCATATGTTAGGATAAATGGGGAATTCTTAAGGTTTTTGGGGCAGAGATACGATTTTTTCCCGAAAATTTCGTTTTTGACTGCTATCAGATTTGAGCTCAGAACTTCATGTGGAATATGATTTGGGCAGACTTTTGGTAGCCGCCTTATAGAGCTCGCTTTGCCCTGTCGAATGATTACTCAAGAAACATTAATTGAAAGAAAGATGAAAAATGGCGGCGGTTACACTGAAAACGGTAAATAATTATGGGACAACTTAATAGTACTTGAAAATCCTGAAATTCTCTCCTTCCTACCTTGTTACAGCCCAATTTCATAAGGCGGCGACAGTCCTGCTTCAAACGCGCAGTTATGTGCGCCGGACACGATATGCCGCTACACGGGAAATACCAGCAACAGTAGATTTTTTACCGTCGAGTACTTCAGCTCTTAAAATGTTCTTTGTGCTTAACATGGCATCGCAACAAAACGCACCTTAAAAAGAAAAAGTATAAATGGCCTTCGAAGTTTTGCATAAAGTTGAATCGAAGCGAACTTGAAAGCTCAAATTTGAAAATGAGAGAAAGCCGAAAAAAAACTAATTTCCTTCCAGAAAAATACCACGGTCTTTTCTCTCATAAGTATACTCACGACTTGGTATTGAAAGCAATGCTGTGCTGCTCCACATGAGTAATTTTGTAGTCCAAGCCTTTGTGAGTTTAGCTTTTTACCAAAGCTTTTCTCGAGCTTCTCTCGCTTTTCTCGAGCTTCTCTCGCTTTTCTCATGCAAAATTTAATAAATATAAAAACTCAATTTAGGGCTCAGCATGAAGATGGCAAATAGACATCGGTAGAACGCCTTTGCTGCCATTCCGAATTTAAAGAGAAGAGGGAGGGTTTTAAGCTATAATAAAATGATACTATTAACTAAACTCTAGGCGTAGGACAAAATTACGTAAAAATTGCCCACACTTATTTTTCAGATAAAAGTTAAGCAGGCTCTTTATTTGCATATTTTTTTCAAAACTTTCCTGATATGCTCCTAGTCGAACTGTGAGTACACACAATCAACCGTGCGTTGCAGACGCCCCCCACCCCGGTTACTTTGTGGTAGTGGAAATTTCAAAAAAATTTGCCACAACCTTCAGTCACATAATTACCGTGCAGTGATTTGCACTTGCTCCTCTTAGTTCACGTCCGATTGTGCTCCAAATCCTTAACCATTTCGTAACGTGTGCGCTGTAACCGAGACATTTAATTACAACTCAATGGAAAATTTGGATTTATGAAAATGATGCGCGAGCAAAATCGTGTTTTTGCATGAAAGTTCTGTAGCATCTTGTCGAGAAGAGCATGCATATAGAGTCTATCTACGACGTCTTCTTTGCTTTCTATCCAAAATGATTTCCAGCTTTTGGCATTTGCCCCTTTTCGTGTCGAGCCCTGAGCACCAATCTTCTCTACAAGATGCGCATTTTTGAGCCCAACCTGTTTTCCACTTTTTTGTAAAACCGAATTCATTGAAATAGTACTTTCGCGAAGCGAGAAAAAACCACTTCCTGGTGATTACAGTTCAATTCGTAGCTGAAGACACTAAGATTGTCTACAACCGTGTATTGCCTAGTATGTAAAGGGGGCTATGTTATGGTATCGTAGAAGCGTCTGCCAATATTTTCTTAAAAACTGAAAATATTAGGTTGTCCGGAAATCAATTCCCGCTTCACCTGGAGAAAATACAGAAGTTATCCGGGGCAAAGCCCCGGATATTATGACATAACTAATGACATAACCATATCCATATAGGGATGAATGTGAATGAGGCAAATATAATAGTGACATTCAAAAAAAGCTTAAAAAACCGAAGGGTTGCGTTTTTATGGCTTTTTTGTTGAAAAGAAGGTTTTTATTCAAGAATTCGATTAGAAACTAAGATAAAATTTCTCAATTACCCTTTCTCTAGACGGCGATTGAGTGTTGGAAGTTCATAAAAGCCGCTGGAGTTCAATAAAAAACGAGAAATGCGCTCAAATCTTGCGCAGAGAGTCGCCACATAATTGCTGGTCTATCTCGTTATGGAGTGATTTTCAAGACGCTGTCAGTGCTCCTGGCCGTCTCATGTGGATCACAACGATATATAATGTTATAGGGTTTCGTTATAAACCCGCGGAGATCATTGACCAGAGCCAAATTCCCCGCCGGCTCTGATCTGTCTCCGCGTCTCCGCGCGTTGCGCGCTACCTCGCTACCTCAAATACAGGGCGCGGGGCATTTGGCTCTGGTACCCTTTTCTTCGCTGTTTCGAACCCAGATTTTGCAATCTATATATCATATTAAAGCTCTTCATCTCTATTTTCACGCTGACAACGTCGCAAGACTCCTTTTTATGATTTAAACAGGAAGTCTGGAAAAAACGGCGTTTTCGAAAACCTCTTGTTTTTTCTTCAGTTCAACTTTTTTCACTCGGTTTTTTTTTGTGTAGCCGATAGACCTTGTTTCTGTCTATGATGTAGACAACCTCGCCGAGCTTAATTCTTTGCTCATGCCGGTTTTTTTGTGAAAATTACTAAAAAGTGCGTTCTCCTTTACCTTGTTCTTTTTCAGTGCTTTTGCAACGAATTTTTCCAACTTGGAGCTCATAATGATGAGCAGAATAATTCAGACAACGTCGAAGGATACATGAGCGACAGTGCGGGGGTGAAAAATTAAAGGACACATCAAAAATCATATTGGCGTCGATGTACAACATAGATATCTTCTCAGAAAAGAAAATTTGTGTATGACATGTTCAATCCAGTTTTGACAAGTTTCCCTTCTTTCGGTCTCCCAGCTGACGCCACAGTTAAAAAGAGTTTTTTTTTAATTGAAAAGAACTTTGTTCTTGCTGCTGCCCAACTCAACCGGCAATCCTGAAGAGGAAACCTATGCGTAAGAAACCACCAAGCTAAAGGATCCAAAATTGATGGTGTGCCTACCTCTGTTTTCTATTAAGTTTTCACGTTTCCGATTTGCTTCATATAATTATCTATCTTCTCAAGCAACCTTCACTTTTTTACAGGGGGCAGGAACTCAAACAACCATCACTTTCTAGACTCTGTCTCTTGACTATCGAAGGCATGGAGCAAAGCAAGCTCTACAAGATGGCCATCTTGCTTTTGCAACAGCTCTCATACACCTCGAGTTTTCAACCAAAAACTAAAATGACTCAGCTGCCCGAAAAGTCGAAAGAAATCGTAAATCGTTTATAAAAATTCTACAAAAATTCTTACTTGCTCGCGTTAACACTATCCACATAAAACATCTATATACGCCTTTGCCATTATTTTTTCCTTTCTTAGAAATCAAGAAAACGGAAATCTTCGTGCATTTGCCAAAATGGTGTTGTGCCGTCCCCACATAGGTGGTTGTATACTACAAACCTGTAGAAGTACAAACGTAAATTCTCAGCTTTCTACAGCCTTTATCTCTCGAAAAATTTGAATTTTAGCTTGGACCATCTAACTAGGGAAAGCTATATTCGGTATTTCTCGAGAACTAAAGCTTGTAGAGAGCTGAAAATTTGCGTTTGTACTTCTACAGGTTCATAGTGTACAACTACTTATGTGGGAACGGCATAGCAGCACTTTGGCAAATGCGCAAAAATTTCCGTTTTCTTGATTTCTAACAGAGGAAAAAATACGAAAAAGGCTTTTATAGATGTTTTATGTGGATTGTGTTTACGTGAGCAAGTAAGAATTTTTGTAGGATTCTTATGAACTGAGCTACGATTTTTTTCGATTTTTCGGGCTGCTGAGTCTTCTCAGTTTTTGGCTCGAACTCGAGGTGGATGAGAACTGTTGCTAAAGCAAGATGGCCATCTTGTAGAGCTTGTTTTGCTCTATCGAATGATACTTTGCAACCTATTTAGAAGTGAAAAGTGTATGACTTATTGCGGTTGAAAATCAAAACGGGCATTAATTTCCAACAACCTAATAGAAACTTAAACTTTGATGTGCCAATGTCCATCTGTCTAACGAATTCAAGAATTCGACTAATGGAACAGCTTACTTTCTATTTCTGATCACTGCAAGGGATTCTCTTCAGAGTATGTTATAATCAAAATTGCTGGCAACTGCATATATGAATATGCGAATGTGGAATGTAGGTGAAAGTAAAATCTGTGGGCTATTTTCTTCTGTGATCCATTTTTCTTCAATTTTTCGTGCATTAAGAACAATTAGGTATTGGCTTCAAACTTCAACTCAAATGTGCAGATTTGAACACCAAGCTGTAGAACTTGCACTTTGCTTTGCTTTTCGAATTGTGCCCCTCTCATGTTTGGTCTCGACTTATTGCGTTGTATTATACAATAGGCTAGTAAACGACAAACTTTTTCTAATCTGATAATAATATATCGCACTTACAACGGACATTGTCTGCAGTGCGTTAGTACGTCTGAGTAGTAGTTCATCTTCCATATTTCAAAATTTTTGACTTTTTAAGCTAAGCTAAAATAACTGCACGGCCATGAAATCTGTCAAATCTTTTCGATTTGTCGCTTTCCGCAGGAACTGAGCCAGAATGCTTATAGCCAAATCGGTAAAGCAGTGACTGTGTAAACGTTTTACTGCTTGGATTGATTTCACTAATTTCGCACATTTATTATGAAATCTTGAAACAGCGTAAAATGTTACAGTTGAGTAGATTTAGCGGCAAATATAGTGTGCTTGCACAAAATATGAAATGCGGTGCAATTTGCGCGTGAACAAGTAGCCACGTCAGTACCGCGGGTATCTTGCGCGCGCAACTGGCCGGCGTCACATTCGAAACTATTTCTTCACGCGCCAATTTCACCGTATTTCACCTTTTGTGCAAGCACACTATATTTACCGCTAAATCTACTCGACTGTACGCTTGGCTATTCAATAATCAAGACAGCATGCAATTTTCTGCCTTTTTTTTCGCTTTTCAGGCTAGGATGATAAAAGTTTGAATGTACGAGAAGGTTAGATTCCTAATCTTCGAAATAAACGAGATCGTCGTCCTCACTGATATAAGGACAAGAACGGTATTTTTGATCATATGGCTGACTTAGCCGAACGAAAGCGTGGAAACCGTTAGTATCAAACGAAATTGTTAAATGCTCCTTTTGCAGGGCGATAGGAAATTTGAACCAAGCTAGTGATAAGAACAGGAATGCAAACTGCGTGGTTTTCTTCACAGCTTTGTAGGTATAAGATAGCTGCATTCATGAAGTGAACAAAAATATTTTCACATTTCAGGACAGTGACCTCTGGCGTTAAAACATTAGACCCAAAGGGAAACAATGATTTCAAGAGGGTTGTGGTCGTTAGCTTGGAAGGTAACTTCAAAGAATTTTGTAGTAATTATGATAGTCTGTAATAATCAGTTTAATCTCAGGCGTAAATCTCGACAAGCTAGTAGTACCGCCAAGAGGAGAAGCTGTTAGTATTACTAGCGATTACACCAAGGAAGACGTCGCTAAAGTGATAAAAGCAGTCCTCTCCTTTTTCTAATCTTCTCGATTCCCCGCCACTTTTGTTGAACCTCAGCTACTATTTTGCGTATTGGACTATTAAAATACTACCATACAGCCTTTATGTCTTCTAAGTTCGTAATAATACACTACTGAACCTTAAATGGCCTTTCTCGCACCAAAGTGGGCTGAATTGTAAATCTTGAAATTATACGCATTTGCGCGAAGCTGTGCATTTTCGCCTTGAACTGCAAGTTCCGCCTACTTCTGATTCACTGTTATTTTAGTCGGAAGGAAAAACTCACAGAGTAGCTATAGCTGCAATCTGCTAGAATTAATACATTGATAACGTATATGTTAGTTTGATGCTGGTGGCTTTGTATGGACTTTGTAGGAATACGTAGATGCTTTTGTTAGGGCGCAGTCAAATTTTCAATATATACAGAGAGTTTCAATAGACCTCATTCAAGACAGCAGTTTCGCGAGTTTCTTAGCAACTAAACAGTGTGCAAAATATCTTTTGAAGTGAAGACGAAAATGGCCAGCAAACTTTGCTAGATCCATATTTACCTGAATCTAGACACAGATAGCCCTGCAGAAAAAAGCTGTTATGCGAATCAGATGTGTTTTTTGTAATCAGCAAATCGAATAACCACTACCCTCAATGTTTCCAAGAAATTGGTAACATTCAATCTTTCGCGATCCTCGATCTTGACCTCGCCGCTGGTTTTGGCTGAAATATTGATAATCTTGGATTGACCCAAAACTTACTTACGGTAATCTTTAAACCCACTCTAAAACTCCATTCATTCCGTGGTGAAGAGTTTTACAGTGAAGCTATGAATAAAAAATTGAATTAAACAACGCAAAATTGGAAATTTGTCTGCACTTCTCGATCGTCTATCAAAGAACTTGCGTGCTTGTTTTTGTAAGCTAAAAACTCTGTAAGAAGGGTTATCGGATCATGATTAGCATATGCCCCTATGTGCACTGTTCGTCAGATTACGAGGTTACAAATTCCCCTTTTATGTGTCTCCAAATTTGAGAGTAGTGTATTTTGGCGGATGTTCGTGCCACCAGCAGCAAAGCAATGTAAAAAATATTGTCAGCACATTAAGTAGTAATCCATCTAAGCGGGAGTTCGAAAATGCATCATGCGTGCATTCTAACAGTCATGACTTGAGAATGTGAAACTTGTCGGCGAAATCGGCAAATTTGGCGAAATTGGCGAATTCGCCTTTCGTCGAGAATTTTCACTAGCAACAGAGAGAATTACTGTTTTATCAACTTATCAGCCAGTCAGTTACAATACCGCTCACATAACGTGCTAACTAAGCACACAGCAGCACATAGCTAAGAAGTAAAATCGCAACCACGCGATCGCATCAACTCTTCTTAAAATAAGCACAAAATGTTGTGGTAAGTCGTCCAACAACTTTCTAACCTCCCAAAATTGCTCAGTACTTGAAGCACAGCTAGCAAGATCAAACGACTGCAAACTTCAAAAACTCTCCATCCACTATAATGCGAGAGTTGGTTCCGTTTTACCTATGTTACTGTTATGGATTGAACGATCCGGCCGATAGGCGAATACAAATGACGCAGATTAGGTTGCATAAAATGGTGCAAACTGCGGGCAACGCTAAAGAACAGCAATGAGTAACCCTTAAAAATAGTAGAGTTGAGAGACGAAATAGAACGTTCCTAGAGGCATTTGAGACGTATTCGTCTACTGGGACGTGCGAAACAAGATCAGAGTTGGAAAAAAGAACATGGTGTGGAATGGTTTGCAAGAAATGATTGAGAAGGAGAGGGTGATGTACAAACACCGGCAGAATTCAACGAGAAAAGATTCACATGAACAGAATTGATATAGGTGAGGTGGGCAAAGAAAGCTTATATTTTTCAACAAGAAGCTGCACACTAGCGATGAGCGAAACCTAAAGAATCGTAAGATGAACAAAACCTATGCTATAAATTTCTAAAAGATCGAAAAGGAGTTTTGCGAAACCCACAAAGATAAGTAGACGATGACCAACGCACTTGAGACGATGAATCTGAGAGTTACGAAAATATATCTATTATAATAGGCGAGCCTGCACAAGCGTCTTTGACGAACATCGCAAAAGAGAACGTCTTGTTGTCTCATTAAGAAGCGAGAAACGGAAGGCGAAAGACACCATTCCTTGCGAGCACTGAAAGTATTGCGATCAAGCTGGAGTCACTCGGCTAGTTCTCAGTCAGCAACAGAATTCAAGAAAATCCCAAGCAATTAACATGAAAGCACAACCTCACCAATATGGTAGAATGGAAGAAAAGGACATAGTTGATGGCTCTATGTAACGGCCAGTGCAACATTGAACCTGATGATTGAGACTCCATCTTTCTGAATAATTGAGAACGAACATGCCCAGACAGTCGAAGGGATACCTCCGGCGGGCAAATGGCGCGAGTCTGCCACCTCGTGCTCTGGAGCGCTCCGATGCCCTGCCATTTCACGCATTTTGCTGCTCCGGGGCTCTCCCAAAACTGGCGCACCTTCGGAGCAGAGATTTGCGCGTCCCGGAGAGGGATCCCATTCGCCTGCTTGTGACGTCACCGTGACGTCACCGTGAACGAATAGGACCCCTCTCCGGGACGCGCAAATCTCTGCTCCGAAGGTGCGCCAGTTTTGGGAGAGCCCCGTAGCACCAAAACGGGTGAAATGGCAGGGCTCCGAAGCGCTTCAAAGCGCGAAGTGGCAGACTCGCTCCACTTGCCCGCCGGAGGTATCTCTTCGACTGTCTGGGTGACCAAGCAGCAGTAGTTGAGCAGACGCCTCGTAAAAGGGTTAAACTGTTCGCCTCCATCAAAACCCAAAACTGGCGCACTGGCAGAGGGGAGCCAACACACACGCATGCAAAACGTTTTTCCGCACACCACCCAGGCACGTCACTTAACGGCCAAAAAAGGGCAGAACGGTAGAGGTAGGAAATTGGTAAGAAATTTAAGGTTTGCTAAGAGGGAAATGCCTATAGGATCAAACTCAGAGCTATTCAAACTCATTAGCCAAAAACGCAGTAAACATGCACTGCCACTGAGCCTGATCAAACATGTGATCGGTACTTCAGAAACATCGCTAGTTCTTGTAGTATCACCAGCAAAAACACAAAATGGCTTCGCAGCTTTAATTATTTTGAGCTCTTCTGCTCACAAATATGATAGGCACACGATTTATAGCGGTGTATGGCTAGTTTTTTAGCTTTATGGGATACTTTTCGATAACCTAGAGGCTAGTAGTGTGATTGACAGTTGCTTGTCATCCACGGTGTCTCAGGGCTTGAATCTCTCAAAACGTGACTTTCTCGGAATAAGGTTACTTTACATGCGTTTGCGTTGAATCTGTAAATAAGCTCCACCTTATTTGCCAGCCTCTGAGAGCTACCGTAGTTATGCCGCACATGTTAGTATGCGTGATTTTATCTAGGAAATGTTGACTGTCCGTGAATGGTCTTGGTCCCAAAAAGAGACAACTAGGAATTGGCTAGTCATCGGTGTGTTTACAATGCTTTTCGAAGGAAAACAAAGGGTGCAAAGCAGTTTTTCTCTTTTTGGCCTCCTCCCCCACCCTAAACTTTACTCATCTTTATCGTTATAAAATGCTTAACGTCTATTTATCATACCAAAGCAATTTACGAAGAGATAATAGGATAGGACGCGTTTTATTGCATGAGAAAAAAGATGAATAATAGAAGGAGAGATGATAGTCAAACCATTTATTGCAAAAGATTTTGATCTACTTGATACAAAAATCCGTTTTAAGAGCATACTCCAAGACTGCACGAGTAATCAGATTGTATTGGGCCGCTAACTCATAGCTATTTCTAAGTTACTACCGTCTAAGTTTCTAAGTTACTGAGATTTTCATCACTTAAGGTATTCACATTGGTGAAACGAATTCGCTTTTGTCACTATCGATTTTTACGATTTCCCACTTGATCCCGTCAGTTGCGTAGGTCGTTTGGTTGGAGCGCACTTTCTTCCTCGGAAGGACCGTCTTCGATGCTATGGATCTGATGTGGAACGCGTTGAGCCGTTGACGATTTATTAGAAAAACACAAGAGTTCCCCCTCTGCCTATCGGCGTACATGCCGAGGGTTCACTAGGAATAACTAGGGAACAACACACACAAATATATCAAAGTGCGGCGGGTACGCCGCAACCACAGAGACCATATCGACCTAGCCTATAGTGAGCGAGCAAGTTCTAATATAAGGGACGGCTCTACAACACCTCCCTCCTAAGATGAACAACGGTACATCTTATAACAAGGATCTACTTGTAGACGTTCTGGTGGGCGACGATGGCGACTTGGTCTGGTTGATGTCGGTGGCGTAGAAGAGGTGGCTTGGTGTTCAGCAACATCCATACCATTGTTAAGTCGGTCTTCGTCGGAAGTGGACTGTGTCGAGTCATGACGTTGATCCATACTTGCTGCTCGGCGCATCTGGTTCGCATGACGTCTCCATAACTGACCATCTTCAGTAAGCACGCCATATAATGCTTCTCCATAGCGTTTCTTCACTCGAGCTGGAATCCATTTTTCACATCCAGAGCGAAAATCACGTACCCACACGGCTTCTTGTGGCTGGTACGCTCTCTGTCGTGCTCCATGGTGGCGGTTGAACTGCTTCTCCATGCTTTCATTGCTCATTCCTTCTTCTTTGAAGTCTTCATTCAGCAGCGACAGTGGTGTCCTTATCTGACGTCCCAGGAGCAGCTCGGCAGGCGAACGTTGTTCTGGAGCAGTTGTACAAGGCGTTCGTCGATAAGACTGCAGAAACTCCGCGAGCTTCTCTGCCGTTCCTCCCTCCTTAATTTTCTGGAAGGTTCTCTTGAAGATATCCACAAACCTCTCCGCTTGTCCATTTGATTGTGGATGGAATGGAGGCGAACGCATATGCTTGATTCCTCGCTCTTCACAGAAATCCTGGAACTCCTTGGCTGTGAACTGCGTCCCATTATCCGACACGATCACTTGCGGATTTCCAAATCGTGCGAATAGAGATCTGAGTTCCTTCAGAGTAG